AGGATCCCACCTGAAAAGATACACCAAACCTTCTGAAGTTTCCTGGCACCCTCAGTTCCTTTGATGGTTATGGAGGGCAAATAGTTATGGTCAGGAAGTTCCTTTGGCACTACGAATTGTGCATTCTTCCCCATGAGAATACAAAGTTTGACCTGCTCAATACTGAGGGGACATATTTGATGCTAATATCCTACAAAGTCAAACTCCGCAACCCTCTACTGGTGAATTCCACCTCAAGGTTACAGTAACCAAACTAGCGCTGAAGGGCAACACCAAATGGGAACCAGTAAGCCTACTGCCCCACAAAGAGTCGTAATTGTCAAACAATATAATTTGCTTGAGGGGCATAGGAAATAGGAAAAACTATCCAAGAACTGAGTGGTATTGTATGCCCACTTTCAACAGCCCAAAATGACTAGTAAATAGCCATGGACTGTCTAGAATTGAACAAAGTGGTGCCCCCATCCATGTGGCTATGCTCAACATTGCCACCACCTTGAATACCTTGGCCATGGTCCTAGGAGTATTCACAAATGCTTTTTCAGTATACCCCTGGCCACTGAATCACAAGATCAACTTTCCTTCATGTGGGAGGGGCAACAGTGGGCCTTTCAAGTTTTTTTTTTAAGGCTGCGTGCACCGTACAGCATGGGATGGTAGTCCAGCACCTGTCCCTGTTCCTTTTTCCAGCATCAGTAAAATGGGCTCATGACATTGATGCTATAGTGTTAACATACGAAACTTGCCTCTACTGCAGGACACTCTGCAGATTTTGTTGGAACCCCTACGAGGGAGAGCATGGGCAGTGAAGCCATAAAAGTTTAAGGTCCAGCCACTTCCATAAAGTTTTTGGGAGTCATTTGGTCGGATGAGATGTGTGTTGTCCCAGAAGCTGTGACCGACAATGTACAAATCTAACCAATCCCTAAGTGCATGAAAGAGGTGCAGGCTTTGTTAGGATTTGGGGTGGGGTTGGAGGACTTTTATACCCCACCTGGCATAGTACTTTCATTTCTGCCTGGTAAAGAAAAGGCAGATGTGAGACTGGAGATCAGAGCAGTAAGATGCCTTTGAGAAGGCAAAAACACTAGTGAAGCAGATTAAACCTCTGGACATCTCCCAAGCAGGGTTACCTGTGACCCTGGAACATATGGGTTGGACACCTTGGCTGAGAGAACAAAAGGAGAGAGTACCCTTAGGATTTTGGTCCCAAGGGGAAACTTGTTATAGTCCAAAAAATCAATAGCTCCTAGCTGTGTATACAGCACTTTTCCAGGTAAAGCCTCTCACGAAGCAACAGCATATCATAGTAGGAACTCCCTTCTGGTCAAGGGATGGATTGAAAATATGGTCCATCAATCTATTTCTGCCATGGCTCAAACTCCCAGTTTGATTAAGTGGCATGTCTGTTTGAAGCAGAGGATTACCTTGTCTACCAGCCTGCTGTCTCTAGATATGTAGGTGCTACTAGGCCCTGTGGAGAATGTAGATCCTCTAAATGCCCCCACCCATATTCCTATGGTAGCCCATGCAACCCATAGAAAGGGAATGGAGAAAGTTCCCCTGAGGCCTGGTATATAGATGGAGAATTGGGGCAACCAACCTACACAGACTGTGGTCCCTGTTCTGCCCACCGCTGACACCGTCTGGATGGAAACAGGAATAGACTGTGGTATCCAGTGGTCTGAACTCAGAGCCCATTGGCTGGTGATCACTCAAGTCTTGTTTGTTAACCCTCTGCACTGACAGTTGGGCTGTTCTAAAGGAATGAACCCTATGGCTTGGATGAACAAACAGCAAGTCTCGTCATGCCTGGGAAATGCATTATCCACTGCAGTTTTTAATGGGACATCCCACCAAGATGGGTGAGCTACTTTGCACCCCTGGGTGAGGAGATACTACTCAGTCTTCACTGGGATACCGTTGTCTTGCTGCATGTCAGACCTGTTGAAACCCACTATACTTGGAATGGAGCATGCACCATTGAAAGGGGGAAAAGGTGGAAATCCTGGTATGACATATCCTGCCCCCAGTGTATCACCTCACGCCTGACAGTGCTGCTTCCCGTGGGCAAGATGTGTAGTATGCACAACCTGGTCAAATTCCTGAAGTTGCCCACCTCAATGCCAGGTGGTCATATTCCGTTCTCCACTGGTACAACCGTTAGGCTGCTGTCTTTGTTCCCCTCATTGGCCTAGGGGACATTTTAGCACACGTAGAAGCCTTTACTAAATTCACTCAGCAAGTTTTAGATGATAGCTGGAAAAAGCTCAGTGAAGACTGAGCACTGAAACGTCTCTAATGAGAAAAGCTGTCTTTCAAAATAGGATTGCCTGGGACATTATTACTGCCTTGCAAGGAGGTGCCTATGTCATCATCCAGACAGAATGTTGCATGTTCATACTTGATGAGTTTGCTAATGTATCATCTTTATTAAATCAACGAGGACACAAGTGAACACTCTGAGAGATCAGACCCCCAGTTGAGGGGTCTTCAGTGATGCAAATCATGGGACTCTTGGTGGTAAAAATGTTACTTATTTTGGGAATCACTATCTTGATCTGTGTTTTCTCTTGCGTGGGCCTCTACTGCTGCTGAGGCATCTGCCTCCAGTGCAGCCTGACAGCAGCCAAATGGGCTGCCTCTGTGCCAGTGACACCCCTTGCTGACTGCTCAGGGCACATTGTGAAAGAGAGGAGTATGTGAGGTTGTAAGAGCTGGCTCTCGAGAGGGTGGAGTGTTGGAGGAGGTCATGCAGAGGACGTGACTGCCGGTAGCCCTACAAACTGGACCCAGGTAGTCAGTGGCCTTTTACTCCCTCCCCTGTCCTTAGAATGCGCAATGTACAGCTTCTGCCCACTGTTCCCACAGTGGGAGCTATTCCAAGGACACAGCCATGAGTGAGCAACGTGTTGTTGAGACCATCTGGATGGTGTACATGACTGAACCTAGTGAAGGCCTCTATATAAAGTGTTAAGATTCTGGCTGGTGAGTGCAGTGAGCTACTTATCTTGCTGCTGCCCAAGATAAGCATTGTATGTAAGTTTCCTTGCTTACTAGAACTGCCACCTGCCAACCTGGAGTGGTTCGCCTCCTTCTTTGGTGTCCCCCTGCCCTCTTTATGGGCTCCAGTTAGCAAACCAACAAGCATAAATGTTCATTCTTGAGCTTGTATTTTGTAATCTCTTGATTTGTTTTTTAACTATATTTATTCATCTGAATGATTTTTCTGGTTAAGGAAGGAACCTTCAAATGGAAATTAGGAGGGATTTGAGACCATTAAAGCCTTTACAATTATGTTCAGTATCAAACAGAAATGGTGAAAGGTGTTATATCATCAGATACAGTCTTCAGCTGAGCACAAAGCAAATCTGAACATGGTATTCTTATGACAAAAGAAATATGGGCCTGGAACAAGAAGATGAATTCTTTGTGAAAAGGAGGAGGCTCATGTGTATTGAAAAATAATTAAAAACAAGGTCCTCTAGGGAAAGAATAACCTGGAAATAGTATTGTCAAAAAGACCTATGGTAATAGAGAAAAAAACAGTTGGAAATGAGGCTGAAATGTGATGGACACAGGAATGTTACTATAATTTTAGAGCCATCTATGGAAGCATCCCATTACTTTGCAGGAGAGAGCTGTACCTCTTCACGGGGAAGAGACACAATTACAATTGGAATAATAAATATTCTGTTTGGGGGAATCTCATTACCAGAAAATTATAGTCAAATAGAAGAAGAAGTACAGAGAGTAATAATAGTGGTTAGGCAACTGCCAGGATTGCTTCTAGAAGAGGTGATTGAAAGAATTAAATAGCTTGGTAAGAGGCAACTAAAAGGGAGGCAGTGTTTACAATCACATGGAGAACGTTAACTCTAAAGAGAAAGACATGCCAGCTATTTAGCATGGTGGTAAAGGCTGTAATTAGAAGCAATTTTTTGAGACTAGGAAAAGGGGGATTGAGGCAACAGTCATAAGACCTATTAGGACACTGACTAAGAAGTGTGCTTAGGAACACAACCTAGATTTGCAGTTTGCAAGTTTAGCTTCTGTAATTCTGAACATTTCTGTGAATCTTATATGTTCTTTCCCTTCTTTATTCCCCTTCCTCCTTATAGTTTTTATCCCTCTCATTTGAACCATAAGTTCTGTGCTCTGTTGTGTCAATACATTTTATGGATCATCTGTGGATTCCTGACCACTTAAATACATCATCTTTTAAAATTTATGTTTCAGGCTTGAGCTAGCAATTATTTTGCAAGCACTGGAAGCAACCTTTTCCTTGCAAATTTGCCTTCCTTTAGTCCATGGGGGTATTATATTTCCAGGAGCTACAGAATGCATTTTTGTAACCAGAATTTCTCAGTGTTCTAATAAAATGTATTAAAAAGTTATGATTATTGGTAACTCATTTTAAATGTTATATCATAGTATTCAGTGTTTCCTGGCCACCAAGTTTATCTTAATGTGAACTTTAAACAGGCTTGGCTTTGAGTTACAAATGCAGTGAAGTGTAGCAAAATATATATGGAGTCCTACAGAAATGCACATTGGGGGGCAGTATTCCTTTATTGTGGAGCGGCTGCCTTCTCTTGAAAGGGTGACATCACTTCTGTAAAGTCTTATCATCTAAGTTTTATAAAGAAGCAACTATAAGAAGCAAAAGTAGCAAGATGCTTTGGAAAAACAAACACCATCATCCTCAGTGGTACATAGAAATAGGCCTCCAAAGAAGACGCAAATGAGAGCAATGCAGGCATCGGTACTCAAGGAGGACTGAAGTACCTTTACTGATGTCTCCGTTCAGTGCCCTTAGGAGGAATGTTCTCTCAATCGAGAATTAAAATATTCCATGTTCTTTGCAAACTCCAGTGCCATTTGCAGGATGTCTGAAGGGGGATGTGGGAGAACTCATGCCCCAACTACAAACGACAAAGAAATATATTTTAATTGTTACAATGCTTTGGAAAAATGTTAAATTTACATCTAGAGAAATTCTTCTCTTCTTCCTTCTTCTCCTTTTTCTTTCTCTTTTTTGCTTCAATTAATGTTATTAGAAGTGAGATATTAAATTGCTTTAACCGACTGAAATGTTACAGCCTATATGAATGAATCATAAGAAAAGTGAGGGATTGGCCTTTCTTTTGTTCAGATGATGTCCCTGACTCACAGATGGTGCCTGTGGCCTCTTCTGCGATTGGAGATGAGGGCTGTGTGTTCACAGTGATAGCCAGAGCCTCCACTTGCTTCCTGTGGTGAGTACCACTGTGATCTGTCCTTGTGCATGGTATCCATCCCTCCCGAGAGGGTAAGTACCTTGGACCTCTCAGTCCTGTGGAGCCTGGTCATAGGATAGTACCCAGAGAGATAACTGACTGTTCCTGATTGTAGAGAAAAAAATCCTCTGTGACCTGGGCAGATACTTCTTAATTCTAGATCTAATACAGTTCAAAGGAAATAAGTAGATTGTACATGTGTCTTGAAACCTTTGCTTAGTACTTCTTAGTGAGAGAGCCCACCATTGTTATTCAAACCTGACTTAGGACCATTTTTACTTTGGAAATAGGAAAGTAGCTCTTGTGTTAACTTTCTTACTTTGCTAGTGCTGAGATGATGGGGAAAAGAGGTATGGAATTAAAAGAGGCCCATTTATGTTACAAACATAACATGATTGTATATCTTTCTTTGTAAATCTCCAAATGAAGTAGGAACCTGGATCTAGGAGCATCAGTAATAAAATAGGAAATGGGAGAACAGTGCCTCAGAATGTACTGTATCAAAGTGCTGACCCAGGACTTAGATGTTAAGAATATCGATTCTCAGTACTTCTCATTTGTAAAACCCAGTTTAATGTGTACACTTGTTCATCATCCGTACACACTCATGCACACACATGTGTATTTGTATGTACGCATACATGCATACACATATAGTTTATTTAAAAAACTGACAACTGTAGAAAACCCAGAAAGTTGGAAAATGAATAATATTTCTATAACCCAGAGTTAATTGATAATTACTCCTAATATCTTTTTGGTTTCCCCACCAGGACTTTATTTAATGTAGTTGTGATCATCCTATGTTTTGTGTCTTTTTTTAATTTAAAATGATAATGATCATTTTATGTGCCTCTATAAACTATTTATAGACATCATTTATAAAATGTTTTAAGAGTCCACAGTATGGATAATTCCATAGTTTATTGAACCATTTCCCATATTTGGGGTTTTTGATTTCTCTCTTTCTGGCTTGCTTTCATTAAGAAAAAGTCTTCCCTTTACCCCATCTCTCCTTTCTTTCCTTCTCTCTTACTCTTTCTCATTTTAATAGGGACTCTGCCAAAACTTTGAGACATGTCTAGCATTTTAAAATGGGTGATGGTTTTTGGTTGAGAGAAATATTTATATCCATTAATTTTGGATATTGAAGAACCTCTTGAAAAAAAATGTGATAGCAATGGAAATGTTTCAAAAGAAAATACTGAATTATGTTGCACATGAGTGTATATTGTGTGTGCATGTGAGTGTGTGTATGTGCACATGTGTACGTGTGTGTGCCTGTGTGCATGCTTTTATGTGTATGTGTGTGTGAGTGGGTGTGTATGTAGTGTCCATTCACCTGTGTGATAGATTAGAGGTATAGAGATGTCAGCCATCCAATAAGTGAGGCTTCGGTGGGAGATGAGTAGCTCCGTCAAACAGAATTCCTAAAATGCATTCACAGTTCAGCAGGTTTGTCAACATGGCCTTGTAGTTTGGGGTTTAATATGACAACTGGAGTGGACACCTTTTCTTCCAGCTTTATTGAAATATAATTGACATATGACGTTGTGTAAGTGTAGAGTATACAATGTGATGATTTTGATACACATGTATATTGCAGAATGTCTGTTGTGTGGGTGCCTGTCTAGATGCTCTGACACTGATGTCTGTGTGCCTGGAGGGAGAGGAGAAGAAGAGGCATGTGTGTAAATGGAAGCATTCTATTGGCAGTTCACTGATAGCCAAGTAATACCCACAAAAATCTGCTGTGCAGCTCTCCATGGGGCATAACTTAAGGGGGTAGCATTAACTTCCTAGTTTTAAGAGGCTTCTGAGAAGAAACAGTGATATTGTTGTGAGAGCACCGGTGATGGGGCAAGTGCAGGGACTTCAGCTCAGGGCACTGGAGGCCAGTGAAGTGGTAAAGGCAGAGGCTTCAGATGGTGACTGCCTTGCGTGGTTTGGAGGCAAACATAAGATAATACTTGTCGACTTCCATAAAGTATTTTAGAAGAGCTAAGAGCCATTAAGGCTTAAGTATGGGGATTCAGATATCACTGTTAATGCAACCTTACTGATAGACTTAGGGAGTTTTGGGTCACATGACTAAAATCATAATATTCAGTCTTTGTTCATAAGGGTCTCCCTGCCCCATATTTCCAATGGTTTTCTTAAAGATGGATTCCCAGGTGATAACTTGCCAGATTTTCTGGTTTGAGTTTGCCTCAAAACAAACCCTGATACAAATATTTGTGTGCAAGAAATTTATTTGGAAGATCCCAGAATACCCAAGTGAAGAATTGAAGAAAATTAGGTGAGAAGGAAAGAAAAGCCAGTAACAGGTGTTTATTCACATGGGTAACTGGGGCTCAATCCCACTGGGCTTTCTGAGAAACCAGCCCACAGAGACGAGCAAGCAGGCTGAGGCATCTGTGCATTTATTAGTAGTGCATTTATTAGTAGCTTTCTTCTTTAAGGGTTGCTCTAGGCTCATTAACTCCCCGGTGCCTCCAGGAAATGCCTCCTTGCAGCTGAACAGATGATAACCATAGCACTTGAGTGGGCCAGCGTGTAAAGGATGAAGCATCGACCACCGTCTACCATGCTGGGCTTACCATGTTTCTCCATTTCAGTACACTGTTCGTGTGATTCTGTGCTACATATTTAGGATTGCCATTCCTTTGCTTTCTGCCGTCTAGGAATCACAAAACTCCTAGATATCAGAGATATAATTGTCTCCAAAGTTTTTCCCAATCTCTGTGCCAAAGTTCATTTAAGCAACCAAGGCACGGAGGCCATTCTCCATTGAAGGTCATCTGTGATGTCAGCTTCTTCTTGGAAAGAAGAATTATTGAGGCAGAATCAGGCTTGAAATATGGAAGGTAAACGTACTACCATAGAAGCCTCACTCTGAGGGTGGCCTGACTTAGAGTTTTGGCTCACACTTTTGCAAATTCTCTTTATTTCCATCCCCAATTCAAGTTGTCTGATGTCAGTACCTATTTCTTTAAATAGCATTTCTTTCATTTTCCAGTACTTCTTCCTTTTACTTGTAATACATCAACCAAGAAACGTTTTGACCTTTCCTGTGTCGTATCTTTCTTTATTCCTTCTTAGTTAAGAATTTTGAAAAGAGAGAGAGAGAGAAGTAGTTAACATCTCCTCACCAAGTGGCCACACCTCAACACACAAAAAAATCTGGCTTCCACCTCTACGACTTCACTGAGAATGTTCCCATCAGTATTCACCAAAAATATACTGGCAAATCCAGTAATCACTTTTTGTTTTTATTCTGTTTGAACTTACTGATTGCTCTGCTGAGATTGTTACACACCACATAATAAACATCTCCACTTGTATAATTCACAGAGCTCAGGTTAAAAGCTGAGTTCATCACCTCTCAAACCAGCCACACCTCTTTATCCTGCCCTAAATTTGCTCCTTCTGTTACGTGTTTTATCTTGGTGGTAAGCATCGCTATCTGCCTATAGCCTAAGCAAAAAGAGTTGGAGTCATTTCAGAAAAATCTCTGTTACTTATTTTCCATGTCCAGCCAGTCTTACAGTTTTTACTTCCTAAATAAACTATGTTTGAGGCTACACAATAACTCATTAAACAGTATTTCTTTTGTTCTGAACTTGTCTAATCTTTGGAAATTGCGGTTTCAGTCAAGATCTTCTGAAACTTATACTGGTTATTTCCAATGAGTATCTCATATTTATTTCAAGAATGTGTCACTCCTTTGAGATCTGTTATTTACTCTCTTTACCTTATATCTTCAATCACTTCTGAGATCAGCAGTAACTTATGCCACCGGCATCATATTACAGAAGTCCTCAGGGCCACTGCTGCCGCCTTACACAAATGTTGCTCCTACGTCTGATGTTCACACGATTTGCATTAAGGCTGTGGAAACAAAAAACTAAATGTACTAAAATTGCTGAGCCCTAGTGTCCAGGACACTGGAGAGACAGTGACCCCTAGTCACTGTTGCTGCGGATACTGCTGTCGCTGTCCGTGACTGCCAGGGCATGCCTGGTGATTGTTGAGCCAGCAGTCTCCTAAATTAATCTTCTTTATGTAGTCCCTCATTGTTTGTTAAATTAGGCTCTCGGCCATCTATGGCAACCTGTTTTCCAGACAAACCCAGGTACAGCTGGTTCCTAAGGCAAACAGAATTTAGGCATAACGTTGAACCTCTGCTGCATTCTGTTTCCAGTAGAATATTGAAATTTCTCTGTGCCTCAACTGAGAATCAAACTTGGAATGATAGGGATATAAAAAGTTATTTGCCTGGGTCACTCCGAAACTTCTGCTGGGGACAGACTTTCGAATACAGGCACAGGCTGTGGATGTGACACCTTCTCCTGGCACAGCAGGGTTGTAGAAGAAAAGCAATACCCTGGCAGTACCTCATGTACTTTACACGCTTTGGAAATGATAGGTTTTTTTTTCTTTTGAGCTGAGAGTCTTCACTTGTATCACCTTCTTACATCTAGCAGTGACACCTCCACTTACCTCTGAGATCTTCCTTGGAGTAGCATGTGTCTTTTACACGTGGGATGACTGAGGTGCTCAGGCTAGGGTGTCATCATCATTTACAATCTTTAATGCACCTTTGGTGCTCAAATTACCGAAGAGATCAGACATGATGTCCTCCAAAGCCTAAATGATTGAGCTCTTCTCATCCATATACTCACCAACTTGGTCCAGGGTGTGGAAATTACAATCTCATGATTATTTTGGTGGGTTCACTCTGGACTGTGCTACACTTAATGCTCATTTTTAGTGTGAATACACCTCTGAGGAGTCTGTTTCACTCATTTCCTCAATATGTCTAGTCGTGCCAGGTTCTAACATATCAGTATTTTTTGTATACATTTATTTTATTACATCTCCAGTATTATTTCTCAAGGTCAGACGTTAATTCCTAGAGCCTGGTGAAGAAATCCCATGGGAGAAAAGCCTGAGTTCAAATCTCAGCTTTGCTGCTT